TCACATAAAATGGACTACAAATTTCATACCTTAGTCCCAAAACAATTAATTGTCCTGGGGCATGTAAGCCATGTTTTTCAAAGCTATGGAACAAATCTGTCCCACTAGGTTCCTATGGAGGTAGTGCAGAATTCAGTCTGCCACTTGATGTATTGGTGCTGTGCTGTCACCATAAAGGTGTGGTTCTTGAAAGCTTTAAATCGTATGCAAAACATTCCAAATTACGGTGGATTGTATCCAGTGCTTGGTGAGGGGAGTTCCGCCTTACTTTGCTCTCTTGTGTGCCCCCACCCTGTGCTGCGGAGTCTCACCCAACCCTCTGGAGCAGGTTTTGAGGATGCATGGACAACTGTTGGGGGGGGGCAGGCAGGGAGTCAGTGATGCAACTGCATCCTAATACGGAAGTGCAGGGATTTCAAAATAAAAGAAATTCAGCCGGGGGAATGAGCTTGGAAGCAGTTCCTCCCCGCCCCCCCCAAGACAAACCACAGTTAACATTCTTCTAAACCAATATATTCTACAGATACTCTTTGCTTGTTTAAACCAATAAATCATAGTTGACCTCACAACATGCTTTGTGAACTTGGCTTGTTTCAGCTAGCGATAGTTAAAATTAACCATGGTTTAAGGTTCAAATACAGCACTAAACTGTTGTGAATTGAAACTGGAAGCACAAGTTTCCAGTCTTCCTGTGGTCATGTCAAAAGAGGGAAGAGGGAGACACAAACTCAAGATTTGAGCATGTAACAAACCATTGTGTCCAGATTTGGCCGATATGTGCAGAGTAGGAGAAAATAAATTCCATGTTTATTTGCTAAAATGCAGCCTAGAGTTTGGTATTTGTAGAGTTTGGTACATGGCAAATAAGAAATGCATGTAGGCTTGCCAAGTTGCAATGTTTTGTTTTTTGCCCGTTTTAATGGACTTTCATGGTTTAAGAACTGTCTTTCACATTCTGTCATGGGTTCACAGTTTATGGAATTCTTGGTGCAAGTCACTTTAAATGTTCTCCCTCTGTTGAGAAAATCTAATGAATGATCTGCGCCAAGATTGAGATAGCTGAATTGTCCGTCAGCGGAACAGCAACAGGGCTTCAAAATGAGCCACATACTTTTAACAGAAAGAGTTGTCTTTGCCCAGCATTTCTAAAACTTGTTCACCCTTGAGGTCATATTCAAGCAAAAAAAAAAAAAAAAAAGGGTACATCAGCAGCCTAATCTTTCCAAGCCTAAATGTAGGAAGTAACCTTGTCACTGGCCTAATATTAGAGGTTATTCTAAGTAAAGGAGGGGGTGGAGAGGAATAGATTTGTTTCAGTTGCCATTGACTTCCTCCAGGCAGTCTAAATATTGTACAGTGGTACCTCGGTTTACAAACTTAATCCGTTTCGGAAGTCCGTTCTTAAACCAAAACCGTTCTTCAACCGAGGCACGCTTTCCCTAATGAGGCCTCCTGCCGCCGGTGCCCTTCCACCGTTCAGATTCCGTTCTTAGACCGAGGTAAAGTTCTCAAACCGGGACACTATTTCCGGTTTTGCAGAGTTTGTAAACCGAATCGTTCTTAAACCGGACTGTTCCTAAACCAAGGTACCACTGTACAGTGGTACCTCAGGTTACATACACTTCAGGTTACAGACTCCGCTAACCCAGAAATATTACCTCAGATTAAGAACTTTGCTTCAGGATGAGAACAGAAATCGTGCAGCAGTGGTGCGGCAGCAGCAGGAGGCCCCATTAGCTAAAGTGGTGCTTCAGGTTAAGAATGGATCTCCGGAACGAATTAAGTACTTAACCACTGTACCACAGTTTGGGTTGTTTCTTACCATATGGAAGAGCCCCCCCGAATCAAGAAGCTGTAAGATAATAGAAACAGAAAGGCAATAGCCCTGTAGTAGTTGGACTTTGGACACGGGTGGCGCTGTGGGTAAAACCTCAGTGCCTAGGACTTGCCGATCGTATGGTCGGCGGTTCGAATCCCCGCGGCGGGGTGCGCTCCCGTCGTTCGGTCCCAGCGCCTGCCAACCTAGCAGTTTGAAAGCACCCCTGGGTGCAAGTAGATAAATAGGGACCGCTTACCAGCGGGAAGGTAAACGGCGTTCCATGTGCTGTGCTGGCTCGCCAGATGCAGCTTGTCACGCTGGCCACGTGACCCGGAAGTGTCTGCGGACAGCGCTGGCTCCCGGCCTCTAGAGTGAGATGAGCGCACAACCCTAGAGTCTGGCAAGACTGGCCCGTACGGGCAGGGGTACCTTTACCTTTAGTTGGACTTTATCCATTCATTGGAAGGAGAAACAACAGTTTGGGCTTTGTTGTACCTGTGCTGCCTCTTTTGAAGATATAGAGGCTTCCATTCTACCTTTCAGCAGATAAAATGTGCAGAGGTTTCAAGGACAAGCTACACATTTGATGCTGTCTCAGGGTGGACCCTGTGCTTTTAACCGAAAGCAACCTTGAATGAAGGCTCTGGGAGAGGGAGGTGGAGTTATGATTACCTGCACCTTTTCTAATTAAGAGCAAAAAAGCACTGGTGTCTTTGAGAAACTTTCCCTCCTGTATTTAAAGGGAAGAGCAGGCTCTTCTGGGTGTCCTCTTCCTATCAGATGTGATGCATGCATTTGATTGCGACTGATGTACAAAATGTGTGGCGGGCGGCAGGCCTCAAGTGGAAGCTCCTTGAACAAGTGGGGAGCGGCTGCAGCCATTCTGCACCTGTGGAATGCCGGTTTCTGTTCCTCAGAGCCCTGTTGCTTGTCTCTTTCAAAATAGGAAGTTTCCATGTGGCGCGCTGCATTATTCTGGATGTTTTCTCAAGTGGGTCGCAAAACCCTGGAGGGCAAGAGATAAATCCACAAATCATGCAAACGCTAACCCTGAAGTGCAGAGCTGCAAAGATGCCTCATCTAACCTATCTGATAAACCTTTTGTAGTCTAGCCATCCAAGATGCTGTCTTGTGGGTGGCCGTTTCCTACTTCCAAATAGGCCCACAAAGTTTCACTATCCTGCCCGCCCCCCACAACACACCTGCATTCTTGATATGTGCCTAAGGATGGTAGAGGGCGAACCACCTTTTTTAAAGTGTGTGTGGTTCTTTCTTAGAATCATAGAATTGTAGAGCTAGAACATGCAGGGATCGAACCTGCAACCTTGGTGTTATCAGGGCCACACTCTAACCCACTGGGCTATTCAGGCTCCAGGCTCTTGCCACATGCAACTGAGTGAGGTGGCTATTAACAAGCACACCTTTATTCTTCCCGCATGCCTCCCTTTACTATGACTGCCTGGAAGCAACATATTCCCACCCTCCTTCTCGCAGTCTCTGCAGCCCATTTCTGACACTGCGCACAGTGCACTTTCACTCAGGCCCATCGCATTTCCCACAGGGTTTCCGTGGCCCAGGCCACCACCACTCTGTTCCCTTCTGGTGCTTTTTGTGCAGATAGAAGCTCAAATAGATTATGAGCCGGTTTTTAGAGCTTTTTAACAGCATTTATTAAACATGAATTAAAATGACACACTCCAGGATCCCAATTCCCATACGACAGCTTAAATTTCTAAAGCAGATTGCCACAAAATAGCTGCTTCTGCTGAAGAGCAGTGTTCGATTATTAACACAGAATGGCAAGAAAGGGGGAAATGAGGGTGTTCAGTACTTTGTGTCCCATATGGTGTTGTGTTTACACAAAAACACACACACGGGGCTGCCATTTTGGCTCATGTTGCCCTCCAACCCTGCTCAGTGCACACCCCGCCCTGTTGCCAGCCTCCTGCCCTTTACACCTCACCAGGGCTCTGCCACTCTCCCATGGCAACCCACTACACCAGGCACCCCCAAACTCGGCCCTTCAGCTGTTTTGGGACTACAACTCCCATCATCCCTAGCTAACAGGACCAGTGGTCAGGGATGATGGGAATTGTAGTCCCAAAACAGCTGGAGGGCCGAGTTTGGGGATGCCTGCCCTACACCTTTCCTTTCCCACCCCACAAAGCTATCAAGCCCCCTTTTAACCTTCCCAACCTCACTTCTGGGGTTGCTTCTCTCTCTTATTCTACATCCCTGCTTTGTTTCCTTGCATCACGTTCACGGCTGCTCCCCAGTCATTTTCTCTAACCTCCCCGCCTTGCACACACATCACCCCCATGTTAGCCTCCTGGATCTCCCCCCCCCCCCCATTGTAACTACTGGCCCTCCTCTTCCGCAGCTTGCTTAGTACTAGGGGTTTCAACTTCCACCATTATTCCCATGTCCCTCCCCCTCTCCTCTTTCCCTAACACCTTGCAAGGCTCCCTGTGTGCAAAGTGGGCTCCTTTGAACATGTGCAGAGTTCCTTTCCTCCCTCTCACTGTGTTTTTATTACACCATCCCGTGGCTGAACTCCTTAGTATACTCTGTGTGTGTATGTGTGTGTGTGAGCACATACACACATATCTATATCTATATCTGTATCTGTATCTATATCTATCTCTATATCTATATCTATATCTATATCTATATCTATATCTATCGATCTCTGCTACTCCCTTCCGGACAAATGCATACTTGCGCTCATCTCTTTCTATCTTTCATAGAAAGAGACAACAAATTCTTCAATTCCGCCCCCCCCCCAAAGTGGATTTCCCACTTCTGTGGGAGAACTGCAAGTGAAAAATTCTCGTTGGAAACAGGGGTAGATGTGGTTTTAATGAAGTAACTACATCATAAATAGCGTTCACCCAGCTGACGTGATTGAGGTAGCCCACATCTGAGAGAAGAAAGGGAGGCTTAGTAGTAAGGCGTTGGGCCTTTAGCCTTGCGTATAATTATCAAGCTCCTCAATTTGAAATAAAACCCCATCTTAATGTATCTAGGTTCTTAATTTGACCGAAAAGCTCTCCCTTGCTGAAAGGGTCCGCATTTTTTCCCCACAGGGCAAATGCTTCTAAAACATATCCCTGCCATCTCTTGGTGTATTGTGCGATATTCTCAACCCGTGATATTAAGACATTTTCCTCTTTGTTCTCAGGGGTGGACATTGATCCTATGACGCATGCCCGGAAGAAACAGCTCTTACTTCTGAAACACTCAGCTGGTTCTGCTGGCCAAGCTTTGTCACCGATTGACGGTGAGAGAATGGATAGGACTGAGGCGGAGGATTGCGAGCGAGGCAATGGCGCTGAGGGGCAAACCTGCCAGAGTCGATTTGCAGGCGTGAATAAAAGCAGGAATTTGCAGGAACTCAGAAAGACGTATCCATTGAGAAAACGCCTCAGCTCACCCGTGGATAAAAAAACATGCTCCGTGCTCCTCACTAGATTGGAGGATGTTGCCGGATCCCTGTCGGAGGAGACTCAGAGTGGGATGAAGAGAGGTCTCGCCCATTGTATGGATGACTTCAGACCCGCCTGCCTTCCGGATCGCGTTCAGGTCGTGAGAGCAGCGAAACAAGAGCCATCGGCAGGGAGATGCACAATATCGTGTTCTGGGACCGGGCTGCAGGGAAGCGATGCTTGTCTTGCAGAACCCAGGAAGCGCAGGTTAGCCTCGCTGAACGCAGAGGCAGTCAACAACCTGCTTTTCGAACGGGACGACGGCTTAATAACCGGCCGGCGTTTCCGGAAAGATCCCCCCAAAGTCAGTGGAGTTTGTTGCACTAAGAATATCTGCTGCAGTACTCAGGGCGCTTGGCCCTCGGTGGAAAAGCAGAGCTCCAAGGCAGCAAAGGGAAAGAACCAAAACCGACCGAGTCCGAAGTGTGCTCCTCAGCCGCTGGATGGTGTCGTCGACGGGAAAGGGCGGGAGGATGGCGGGATTTCCTACCACCCTGCTCCAAAGAGAGTGGCCAGTCTCAACGCCGCGGCGTTTCTGAAACTGACCCATGAGAAAGACCAGCCGCTGAAGCCCAGGAGTAAATCCACTGGGGAAAAAGAGAGCAAGCCTGAAAACCACGGTTCCAAATCTAAGCTCAAATGGGCCAAAGCCAGTGGGAAAAACTGCGTTAAATCCAAAAAGGAAACATCCAGTGTAAACATAGAAGGTCATCATAGCTGGCAAGGAGTCGCTGAGGGCGTATTTACAAAAGCAGCCCATCAGGATCCTCCTAGAATTTTGGGGGAAACGGAGTCTGTCAGTTACGAGCCGCTACCTAACTCTTGCGAAGGCCCAGAGGGTTTCTATCACAGACTGCCTTTGCTCATGGGTGGGCAAGCCTCTATGAAACCTGAATATGGAAGACCCGGAGAGAAATCTCCGACTCCCAAGCAGGAATTTCATCAGCCTTCCTTCCCAGTACCTCAGTTCCACCCTTTGCCCGTGCCAGGAAACCATACGGATTGTGGCTGCCTCTACGAATCGTCGGACTTGACTCCATTGAATGGGTTTTATGTTTATTATGGCCAAAGCGGATACAATGATTACACTCACTGCTCTGTTTACCCGAAGGATGAGCTGTCCCAGGCGACGGGTTGCGAGGGGCTTTTGGTGTCTCCGGGTTCTTTACCGCCAGACCCCTCGTTTCAGCCATTTCACTGGTGTAGCTCTCCCTACTGTTGTGGGGAAGGACCGGCAATTAACAGTTACAGCCTTTGTGGAGTTATGCATGTACCGGAGAGCAGAATCAGTACTGTGCACGCAGGGCGGAACTGCTACCCTTATAAGATGCCTTTTGCAGCAGGTAAGTCTGAAATGGGATTTCCCCACACCTTAGAAAAAGAAAAACTTGGCTGCTCATACTTAAGAGTACTTGAGGCTTTACAATGTGGGTTGCCGGCTTTTTACTGTAGCCTGTTGAGAATGAATTAGCTTTGCCTCCATGATCAGATGCTGGGCTACTGTGCTGGCCTTGACATTTACATTCCTTGAAGCGACTGTCTCATCTTACTTCCTAGCATGACCTGTCTTGCAGCGATATGTTTTAATGGTTGCCCATAGCAGCCCAGTTTCTCCTACCAGATGGCTTGAACTGAATTATGTTTGCAAGTGGGGTACACATACCGTGTGCCGTATTTGCTGTGTGAGATGAAAGGCTTGCAGACTTACAGGTTGTCCAATGTGGGTATTCAGCTTCAGGTTTTTTTCCCTCAGAAAAATTCATTTATGAAAAGAACCTGAGTAGAAATGTAAAATTTCCAGAAATTTTGAAACCGGGGGGGGGGGGATTGGAGAGTTTTGTTTTAATTTTGAAACCGTGGGGGGGGGGAAATTGGAGAGTTTTGTTTTGTTTTTTGGAGAGGGGAATTCAGGGAGTAAATAAGTAATGTTTGGGTTTTTAGCATCCTTTACACTTTGAAAGTCATTTGGGTACTTTAGGAACATAAAATATATCATGTTCAACTTTGCCATTACTTTATGATGTTTGGTATATTAGAAATGCCATTTATTCAGACTATAATTACGTATTGAATTTCCTTTTAAAAAAAAAAAAGCTATGCTGCGCTATAAGGAACATGGCATCTCTCATTTTACCAGTTGGTGAGGAGTAGGCAACCCCCCCCCCAATAAAAACAGGATAAACCATCCACATTAGAGTGAAGAAAGAAAATTACTATGGTTTGTATTCAACTAAGTCCTACTCAAGAGCATACCCATTGAAATGAATTGAGCCTAAGTCAGCCATGCTTCTTTCAGTCCCCCACATCACTCATTTCCATTGAAAGAAATGTGAAGGCCGATGGGGGAGAGGAACCAAGACTCAATGAATATTACATGAAATTTAATCAGTCTCGTTTTCTGAGCTATTATTATCAGCTTCTGCTTTTTCATATTTGTCATCATATCCACCAAGCACTTCTAAAACTTGAAGTAATGCTTGGATTGAAACAAGTTTCTCTATCCTTTCACATGTCATATCCCAAAATTTTTCAATTTGGGTAGGGGGAATAAAAAAAAGAAGGCTTTGCAGGAAAATGAAAGCAAAACACACACACACACACCGATTTTTTCCAGAGTTCATATGGGCCGTCATATATTTAAAACCAAATAGTTTTAAGTGTGGGAAACTTCTGCTGATAGTCTCACATTTCAGTGGTAACCTCATATTTTGGTCTCTGCTTGTTTTATTTCCAAGTGAGCAGCTCAGTCCATATGGAAGGATATTATGGAGGGTGCAGGGGGAAAGCAGCTGCTCAACTTTTCTAGAGCGCCACATAAAGGTAAAAGGACCCCTGACCATTAGGTCCAGTCATGGCCAACTCTGGGGTTGCAGCGCTCGTCTCGCTCTAAAGGCCAAGGGAGCCAGCGCACAGCTTCCGGGTCATGTGGGCAGCATGACTAAGCCACTTCTGGCAAACTGGAGCAGCGCATGGAAATACTGTTTACCTTCCTGCCAGAGTGGTACCTATTTATCTACTTGCACTTTGATGTTCTTTCGAACTGCTAGGTGGACAGGAGCAAGGACCGAGCAACGGGAGCTCACCCTGTCGCAGGGATTCAAACCGCCAACCTTCTGATCGGCAAGTCCTAGGCTCGGTGATTTAACCGACATCGCCACCCGCGTCCCCTAGAGCTCCACATATCTGGCTGCTAATATGTGTACGGCGCTGCTGGTAACATGGAGAGATCCTGGCTGGTTGAATACTATCCTTTCCCGTTAGGTAGAGGAAGGGCAGGCAGTTTGGTGGTCATGCTGAATAGCATACCAAGCTGCTCCTCATCCAGAGGCACTGTGCCCCACAAACCCTTCTCTAGTGCTCTGGTATTCAGAAGAAGCCAAGCATTTTGTAAAGGGAAGAGAAGGAAACAAAACAAAAAGGCAGTTGTGAAGGTTGGCACACAAATGCCACCTGCCCACACACCCTCTAGCGACCCTGTTCTCACTTCACATCAAGTCTGAAGCTGTGTCTTGCTGTGAATTGCGCCCGTCTGTCTCCTCTCTTTGCCAAGCTGAGGGAAAACAAATCACATTGTGTGCAAACCAGTGCTCTTGCAACAAACTGGTTTGTTCTTGGCTTCTTCTCATGGTTTGTTTGGACAGAAACAAACCACAAAGTCAGGGTAAGCTACAGTTGTTTCAGACCAAAGCAACTTACAAATAAATTATTATATATTTATTTACACCACCCCCTTTCCCCTGACAGTGATGCAACGCGGCTTACAGATAAAAATAAGAACAGCTAAAGGCATGCGAGGAGGAAATAATTAAAAAACCATTAAATGTTGATAGAATTAAAATTAAGACTTACATTTGCCAGGTTTGCATGGCTTAGTATCCTACTTAATCCTAAAAAGAGGGACAACTTTTCCTGGCCTTGATTCTTCCTCTTCACTAGCAACCAAGCAAGTAGCTATTTACAAACCTCTGTTAAAATAGATTACGGCTTGGGTCTAAAGATTCCTGTCAACACGCCCTAGTGGTTGCCATTTAGCGGTTATTCTGTTTTATTCTCCAAGTGGTTTTCAGTGCAGCCTATCCCACTGCGGGGGGTCCCCAGACACTTTGGGGCTAAACTCAGAGGCCTCAGTACATATTGCAAAGTTCTCTTTACAGCCCTTAGTATTCTTATAGAGAACTGAGTTGAGTTAAACAAAAAAGATTCTTAATTCAGTACCACACACTTTCTCCAGTAGGTCACAACACTGAGTTCTCCTCAGTGTCTTCCCCTTCCCTAAGCTAAAATTGCACTTGGTGGATTGTAGTTCCAACACCTTTTAAAGCTTGCCTACTAATTTCACACACTTTCAGATCTGCTGGTAGCAGCCGCCCTCCCTGGCCATGCTAGGAATTGACTGTGGGAAGCTTTCATCGCAGGACCTGTGCAGCTGTACCACTGAGTTATGACCCTTTTACAGAGGGATAAGTGGTGACTTGCCAGTCCCTGGCCCCCAGGATCAGGCCATAGTGCAAGTACATAAACTATTGTGCTGCGTGGCGATGACTGGTGACTGGCGATAGCTTTCCACAGTTTTACCTTACAGAGAGAAGCAGCCTTTTGTAAGTTTGTAAGAAAACTTAAGTTCTAAGTGATGAAGGTTACATTAAGGTTTTGTTTTAATCCAGTTTAATGAGGGAAAGCCATGCTTGTTACAGAAAAACAGCAAAAAACCTTGTTTTTTTAAAACATAGATAAGTTTGTTTTTTAAAAAAAAACTGCTCTAAATAGGGTTTTATTTAATTAAGCCATATTTGCAGTAGAACCATTGAAATCAATGGACAAATTAGTAATTCCGTTGATTTTGGTGGGCCTGCACAGAGTATGACCCCAGTCATACACAACCCGTATGTTCTCATTTCCTGTGTTCTTACTCGAATCCATGTCAAGAGAAGCCATAGCTCAGTAGGTAGAGCACATGTTTTGCATGCACAAATCTGCAGGTTCAATCCCCAGCATCTCCAACGTCAAAGGATTTATCTCTGCCTGGTACCCACAGAGAGCTAAGACCCACAAGCTTGGGTCACTAGAAATTGTTGGAGCTACAACCCCACCATCCTTGACCATTGGGCATGCTAGCTGAGGTCGATGGGGGTTGTTGTCTGAATACCCAGTGATCCACAGTTGGGACAGGCTTGAGCTAGATAAACCAAGAGTCTGGCTCCCTATAAGGCAGCTTCATAGGTCATTTGTTTCAGGTACAGCTTCTGGTGTCTGCATAGCCGGGCTTCATCAATGTGTTCTCTGGATCTTTCCCTTACTGCATGTAAAATGTTGATCCCAACGATTTAAAAATGCTTCTCACTGTTGCTGTGCTAGGAAATTCTGTGTCTAGAATAAAAGCTGCCGGACTATAAAATTCTATATCTGTAATAACTGTTATTTACACAATTAGTCAATAAAGAGGTGTAATTTCCTCTCCCCGAGATGGCAGTTGCCTCTGTGGACATCTCTTTCTGGCTGTGCACAGCCATGCTGTGAAAACCGTTTTAAGATTCGCAGGAAAGGATAGCTAATCCAATTAAACTGCTGGAGGGTTTTAGGTAGATGGCTGAAATGTTTAAACTGGGACTATGGGATAAGATGGGCATTACGATTTTCTCCTGCTCCCGGAATATATTGCGGTTCAAAAAAGAAGCGCAGGAGCAAAGAGTGTATTTGTGTAAATATGTGTGCTACCATAGTGCCATTTTGGTTCTCACCTGGTGGATTTATGTGCCTTCAAAATCTTACCTTGCACTAAAGACTTATTGATTGCATAGCACATTCAGGAAATTGGGGGAGTGCAGACTCTGTAAAAAGGGGGCGGTGCCCTAAGCCACATTGTGTTATGATCAAGAACTTGATTGTAGTTTAGTTGGCAGAACTGGGAAGGTGGTGTAAATATTTTGAGTCATTCATGGAAAACCTTTAATCAAGTTTTGCCTTTCTTAGAAAGGGATGAAGTTGCTAAAGGAAGATGAGTGTCATTCATAAATTAGGAGGTTTGAGTGGTGGCTAAACATGAGAAGAGCCCTGCTGGGTCAGATCAAAGGCTTATCTGGTCCAGCATGCAATCAGATGCCTATGAGAAGCCTCCCACCAGCAGGTCACGGGCACAATAACACACTCCCACTCACATCCCCCTACAACTGGTGCTCAGAGACACATTGATCATATATAGCTCTCATTACTAGTAGCCATCAACAGCTCTATCCTCTGTTGGTAGTTGATGGTACTCAGGACTGTATGCAGTCAATTGGTCTACAGGTGCCAATTGGTCCAGTGGCCATTGAAGCCCTCCCCTCAACTGCCTGTCTTTCATCTGGCTGGCACAAACAATCCATGTATCGCCTGATACTTCTAAGTTGGGTCAGAAGCAATTGCTTGAAAGTCACTTGTAGTTCTTTCACTTTCCCTCAGTCTGGCAAGAAGATTGTTGCAGACATCAGAGTGACTGCCCTCCTCCAGATCCATTGAGTGTCATGGAGCTGGCAGTAATATCCAATAACAGGTGAAAGACCACTGGCAAAATGGGACTCCTTGCACCAGTCTCTCCAATCCTTGCAGTGAGACTTGCTAGCTGGTCAGTTCAGTGGCTGACTGCACAGATTTGTGCCATGTTGGAGAAGTGGCATGGATCTCTCATGGTATTTTTAATTGTGATATATTTAGGCTATTTCTGTTTTAAAGGTGTGAGCTGGTATTTAGAACTAAGTAAGGTGGATTTACTTTCCGAGTCTTCCATAACTCAGGACAATATCAATGTGATGGTTTTGTGATAACAGCCACCTTTGAACAGCTGAGTCTTCAGTGACGTAATTAAAACATGCTTTGCACAGTGGAGAACTGCCATTTAGCCTTTTAATGAACTTTTGTGAGAATTTTTGTGCTGGATCAGATTACCTAACTGAGCTTTCTCCCTCTGCCGTTGGCAGCCAGACGCGCCAGAGAAGATCAGAAACAGGTCAAAACAGTTGTGTCAGTCCCTCGTTGCCACAGTGTCAGATACTCATAGATGCGAACACTCAAGATGGAAGTTCCACTTCTAGCCTCTTGGTATCTGTGTTCACCTAATCCTTTTGTTTTAAAAGCCTTTTATCTTAGCACTTCAGCCAGCACAGTATTTTGTGCTGGTGTGTTGGATATTCTGTTTAATGCAATGTTCAAAGTATTTTGTCCTGACTTAAATCTATTGTCTGACAACTTTATTGCATGAGTGCAGTCTTGAGACAGTGACTCCTTTCTTCCCGTCTCTCTGTTCCCACCCATGAGATTCCAAACTTCTCCTGTTTGTTCTCCCTTCCCGTCCCAATCTAAAATGCTTGATTCATTGCAGCAAATTGAGATTTCCTTCTAGCTGCTTGTATATTTTTACTTTTTTCTTGTTTTTTGCATTTATATCCCACCTTTTTCTTAAAGGTGGCCTACATTGTTTTCTCCCTCTCCATTTAATTCCCACAAGAACCCTGCGAGGTAGGCTAGGCTGAGAGGGAGTGACTGGCCCAAGGTCCCCCAGTGAGCTTGATAATCTTTGGTTGCTTCCCTGAGTCATGCAGGAAGCTAGAATTCATCCCTTACCTCTTTGTGTACTGAGACATAATGCTAGAGAACTATATTTCAGGAAGACTGGTTCTAGGTGGGTGATTTATATCAGGCTTCCTCAAACTCGCCCCTCCAGATGTTTTTGGCCTACAACTCCCATGATCCCTAGCTAGCAGGACCAGTGGTCAGGGATGATGGGAATTGTAGTCTCAAAACATCTGAAGGGCTGAGGTTGAGGAAGCCTGATTTATAGCATTATTATTTGTGTATGAAAGGACGCTGGTGGCGCTGTGGTCTAAATCACAGAGCCTAGGACTTGCTGATCAGAAGGTCGGCGGTTCGAATCCCAGCGATGGGGTGAGCTCCCGTTGCTCGGTCCCTGCTCCTGCCAACCTAGTAGTTCGAAAGCACGTCAAGTGCAAGTAGATAAATAGGTACCACTACGGCGGGAAGGTAAACGGCTTTCCGTGTGCTGCTCTGGTTCTCCAGAAGTGGCTTAGTCATGCTAGCCACATGAACCAGAAGCTGTATGCCGGCTCCCTCGGCCAGTATATCAAGATGAGCGCTGCAACCCCACAGTCATTTGCAACTGGACCTAATGGTCAGGGGGCCCTTTACCTTTGTCCATTTGTGTATGAAGGGCTCATTCAATCACAAGTCAGCCCCTGCAGCCTGAAGTGTTAACAGCCCAAATGCAGGTTTGTCAAGTTCATTGAGAACTAGATTTGAGATACAAAAAGTGCTACAACTCCCCAGGAGAGGAGACCCTCTCCAGAAAGCTCCGTTCCATTTTCTGACTTCAGGGATTCTGCACTGATGTTTTTAACATATCAAAAGGCGGAGCCACCACAACTGAGGGAGCCCTGGAAAGGTGGCTGTGCCTGTAATAATCAGGTCATTTAAAGATCTTGTCATATTTTATTAGCTGTCCTTGTTTTTACAGCTGTGGCACTTGCTTGTTAATACTCCCATCTCTGAGGAGGGAGGACTGCTTCCCAGCCTTGTTTTACAGCTTGCAGAGTGGGAGGCAGAGGGCAGCAGTTTCCCACAGCAAAAAGACTCAGCCGTACTTTGCTTCTTTAGATCGAAATCAGCTGTGGCATTGATTCTTCTAATTTGCTGGGATTTCCAAGGCTGCGTACGTAGGGGCCGCCACTCATTGCAGCATCCATTTCTGTGAACTTCCTCACTTATCGGAGGCCGTCTGAAGTTGCTCCGCTAACTATTCTGAAAGGTTCAGGCCAGGGCTTATCTTCATGTTCGGAACTCCCTTCTTGCAGTGTTGGTCAGGTCATGAGCTGGGGTATCATAGACTCACAGAATTGTAGAGTTGGAAGCGATCCCAAGGGCCATCTAGTCCAATCCCCTGCAGTGCAAGAATATTTTGCCCAACGTGGGGCTTGAACCCACAACCCTGAGATTAAGAACCTCATGCTCTACCAACTGAGCTAGGTAAGCACCTTTCCACCGATGTTTACTCTTGCCATTCAAAAACGTCTTTGTGCCGAGGCGTGTTTGGCTGTGACAGCTAGGATCCCCAGTCCCACATAGGAAGCGGCCTTTTGCATTATTTTGGAACAGTTGCGATACCATAATCTTTATTGTCATTGTCCCATACAGAACAACAAAATTTAAAAAATCTACATCAGACATTCCAAAACCAGCAAGCCAGCTATCCCAGCCTGGTTAACGCCTAAAAACCCTGATACCCCGTAATTGAATACAATATGCTCACATAGAGACTACCTTACACTGCATTTAAAACCAAAAACGCATTTGGATAGAAACTGTTTCTCAGGCGGCTAGTCCTAGTCTTTATAACCCTGTACCTTCTTCCAGAAGGCAGAAGCTGAAAGAGATCATTTCTGGGGTGTGCATTATCTTGCGCTATCTCTGCAGCTTTCTTACGGCACCTGGAAGCATAGATTTGACCCAAGGTGGGAAGAGTGCACCCAGTTATTCTCTCCACAGTCTTTACAACCCTGGACAGCATTGTTTTTCCCCTGACCATGCAGCTCCCAAACCACACACACAGACCATAAGTAAATACACTCTCAGTCATTCTCTGTTCTAACTTTTCCTAAGAAACTGAAGCCCCTTTTGCATGCATTCTGCCAGGAGGAACCGCAGGTGTTTTGGTATTACTTTTATACTTGACTTGGTAGGTAGACCAGAAATATGGCAGCAGCCCCCATGCCACTGATATTGCAGCTGCACACCCAAGAGGTTTGGATTTTCTGCATGTGTGGCAAGCAGAAGAGGTCTTCTCATGTGAACTGTTACTGAATCATAGGGATCTTCCACATTTTCTTCTGGTTGCAGGAGATTTCTTGGGGGTGGGATGAGAGCTTTCCCCCTTTCATCTTCTGTTATTTTCATTCAAAATCTAATAATATGGCGCAGATAGCCCCTCTGGGACACCTGAAGCAGCAGTAACTATGTAGGGACTAGGGAGAAGAGCATCTGATAGCATGGGGAAGTACAGGAATCTTTTTCCTGGAAGACCCATTTTGCCTTCTATATCTCAGTCAAAATGAGTTTTTACATTTACTTCCCTCCCCCCCCCCCCACTGATAATTAGAGCATACAAGCTAAAATCTTGCCCTTGAAAGAGAAAGAAGGTGCAAGGAAAATGAGACTTCGGTTCTTGAGGTTGAAAACATGTTCTGACAATTTTGGCACCGGGCAGTCAAGTATTTTGAACACTGAAAATGCTGCGTAAATACTGTGGTGGAGGAGGTGAGCTGGGCAGAAGCAAAAAGTATTTTTTTATGGAGCCAGGATGTCATTCTTCCTGCTGTTATTCTGAGCCTGACACTTGGCTTCCGATGGTAATATTTGTGCTTAGTCATTGTTAAGGAGGGCTTTACAGTCGTGCTCTCAGGAACCATCCCAATAATTTCTCCCTTCTTCCGACAAGCAGTGCCTCACGCTATATTTTGCTTTCCCTCCCTCCTCATCTCCTTGTAGACAGCTGCAAGTCTCTGGACCAGCTGAGCCTCACAATCCCTGTGGCAGGGCACCCTGTTTCACCTGCCCACCCACTCTCAGGATGTCCGGTACCAAGTGTGCCACCAGCTGCAGAACCTGTTCCTCACTTGCAGACGCCCAACTCGGAGCCCCAGACTATGGCCCGTGAGTGCCCACAGAGCTCCAAGCCTCCCAGTGGCTCCAAATCAGGCCTCCGCAACACCGCCAGCTGTTTACATGTGTCCGACAGCAAAACCGTTGGGGGTCACTCTCATCCAAAGCAGCAACGGATCAACCGGAGAAGAGCCACCAATGGCTGGATACCCATTGGAGCAGCCTCCGAGAAGGCTGTCTATGTTGTGGTAAGCAGCCTGCCAAAACTGCGGGTTTTTTCTCCAATAATGAGGTTTGCTTATGATGGGGCTTGCTTGCTGGCACCTTCAATATACAGCTTTAGGTGCCAAGCAAAAACATTCCTCTTTAATCAGACCTTTGGCTGATTGGCATCCAGTGCCCTTTTAAAATGTGTTGGGTTGTTTTTGTTGTTATGTATTTTGTGTTTTTATATTGTTTTATTGTTATATTGTGTTATATGTTGTAACCATCTTGAGACCTGTGGGTATAGGGCAGTACAGTCGTACCTTGGAAGTCAAACAGAATCCGTTCCGGAAATCCGTTCAACTTCCAAAACATTCAGAAACCACAGCGTGGCTTCTGATTGGCTGCAGGAGGCTCTTGCAGCCAATTAGAAGCAGCGGAAGCCTCGTTGGACGTTCAGCTTCCAAAAATAGTTCATAAACCGGAACAGTCACTTCTAGGTTTGCTGCGTACGGGAGCCAAAATGTTCGAGAACTAAGCTGTTCGAAAACCAAGGTACGACTGTATACAATTTTAATTAATGATGATGATGATGATGATGATGATGATGATTGACTTTATGTGCCCTGCCCCACCCTGCTCCTGCTTCTGCGTTGAAAAAAAGTACCAGTGGAGCCTTGTTAGGCTCCAACATCTTTCATCATAGAGCATCCTTATATTATGTGGGACTGCCCTGTGTTGTGTTTTACTGCAAAGAAGTTTAAACAGATTCTTCTCCCGGGGATGTTAAGCCTGCGGCCAGAGTGCTGAAGTACCCCACTTTTTGCAGAGCTGCTTTCCTTAAAACTGGTGTGAACAAACTGAAGTTGCTTGAAGATTTCTTTTCCCTTTCTTTTCTGGGTTTCATAATCATTGCCTTTCATCTGAGCAGCATGTTTTGCTTCTGAAATTAACCTGCTGGGAGGAGAGAGATGCATCCTGCTGTTTTGTATGCTGCAGCTTCTCCATGGGTTCCTCTGGCAGCGCAGACACACCCTTTCTGGCAGAAAGATTTCTGCTTGGTGTAGGTGGATTCAAGGAAGCTGGCGTCTGTTTCTCAGCATTGTTTCCCTGCCTCACTTCTTTCCTCGGCGCTCTCTCTTGTCAATATTTGTAGAACGAACCAGAGCCAGCTGTTCGCAAGAGCTACCAGGCCGTGGAGAGAGATGGAGAAATCATCCGGGTCCGAGACACAGTCCTCCTGAAATCTGGACCACGAAAGAAATCTATGCCTTATGTGGCAAAGATATCAGCCCTATGGGAAGACCCCAAAACAGGTATTGAATGGGTAAATGACTGCCATCTCCTTTGTAGGCAGTCAGGGAGAAATGGAATGGAAGGTAGCAAGTGATGGATGGCTTGTAAATGCATGCATGCACACACCCACACCTACCCAGCTAATACTGAATTTCTTTATCAAAGAACCAAAGAGCTAGAAGGCCTCCACACCTCTGCCAAAGCCTCTGTAATTTATTAATGATTCCATCCAAATTAGAAGGAAGCAGAAGGCCAATTATGTCAAAGTTCCCCACGGGGCAACAAGTAGGCTTAGCAGAACACGTTAAGGAAGTGAATTGTGAGCCCACCATCTCAACAGAACCGAGCCACAGCAGCCACAATAATATCAAAGCAGCGCTCAGCCCAGTGGAACAGGAGATCTCAAAATAAAGCAGCGTCACAAGGACAGCAGCCCAGTTAAAATCTTTAAAAATGTGAAAAGTTGGCGGTCAACAAATGAGTTTTCCATGTCCCTTTAAGGGACTGTAACGATGTAGCCAGCCGAATCCCAACTGGAACAGTTTCACAAACGTAGGGTCACTGCCGAAAAAGCTTTTTCCCTTCTGTCCGCCGGCTGATGGCTCACACATGGCAAGCATCTGAAATGGCTCTCAGGACACAGGCAGGCTGATGAGACTGAAGGCAGTCCTTCAATAACGTGGCCCCAAACTCTTCAGGGCTTTAAAGGCCAACAAGAGACATTTAAATTTGGCTTAGAAATATAGTAGCACTGGCAGTGTAACTGGAGCAATAGAAGTGGTGCCAGTTCCTGGGCACCTGTGTTTTGAAACAGTTTCTGAACTGTCTTTCAGAGCACCGTACGGCAGTGATGCTCTGGAAACCTTACATCAGGTGTGGGGAACCTTTGGCTCTCCGGATCATGCTGAACTATAACTCTCCTCATCCCTTTGTACTGAATGGGAGGCCACTTCAGAGGCTTCTGTAATTATCACAGAAAGAGCCTCTAACTTAGTTCTCGGGGAGTTCTTCAGCCTCCGTGGCCAGGTTTTCTGCAACTCCCATATTCAAGGTGCAGGAGAGCAATCAGTTGGTCATCCCTGAATTGCATCCTATGTGGGACACAAGTGCATCCATCCCATTTCAGAGAATTGCATCTGGCTGGTGGCCCTCTCTGTTGCAGAGACAGGCGAGAAAACCTATTTAATTATTTTGTACTAGGGGCTGCTTGCCCCATTGCCAGTCTTCCCTTTGCACCCTCTTCCCCAATCCCTTCATAGCTTGCCCCCCAACCCCCATTCCTGCAGGCTTCCTTCTCTTGGCCAGGTCAGCCAAGAGTGTGTGACGTGAAGTGAAAAACTTTATTCCCTTCATTTCCCTTCCCTTGCGAGCAGCAACAACAACAAGGGGGGGAAGTACAGGAATGCCTTTTCTCTTACTGCTCTTAAGAACTGCAAATTCTGGCTCTTGCCTCAAGCCACGTACTTGGGGAATGTGCACCCTCCAAACAGTTGCACTGTCTCCCTACTGATCGTAACATCTGAGCAACACCTGCTGCCACGTGATTCTTTTAACAGCCAAAATCTCAGAAGCCACTAATTAGACTAACGTTCTTTATAGTTCGCATTCTGGGAAATAGCATCAAACTCTGGTTTCTGCCTGCTTTGTAATCCGTCTTCTAGCAGCTAGGATCGTGCCGTGCTGCAGGTGGGAACAAAAAGCAAAAGTACTGTGTGGGAGCAAGGTGGTTTCTCCCTTTCCGGGCCAAGGGGTGGTTGGGTTTTGAGGTGAAGTTTCTTAATTTGCTGAAGATGACTCAAGACTTAAAAGTTGAATGGCATTAACTTTAGTGGGGAAACTTACATATACATGGGAAGCAGTTGGGGGACGAGCAAATAAAGATTACTTTGTGGGAGAGTGATGGGATTTTACCACCTTTGTAAATAATAAAACTAAGGATTTATCTGTTCCTTCACAACATATGAGGGTTTGGACATCTTAAAGTGAAGTGCTATTTTGGTAGATTTACTGTATTTTGGCACATGTTATGCTTCACATTTCTTTGCCACACTTGCCTGTTGAGGAGTAACAGGACATTCTTACGACACTTTGAACCAAAGGGCCTGTTGGTTGGAGGAGGAAAGGAATTAGTTTTGTTTCAATTAGTTATTTGAGGGTAGTATAATAGCGTGATGCAATTGTATCAGCACCCACTGCTTATGTATGTATTTATTTATTTATTTATTCTTGAAAACTTAAGAAAAAAAATTCAAAAAATAAAAAGTTACATTCCAAACGCCAATAGTAAAAAGGGTACGAGGAGCATCCAAACCTTTTGGCTTCCTAAAGAAGAATGCTGTGCAATTGTCCCAAAGTGCCTACAGCTGAGGCTTTGTGTGGCTAAGAAAGCGGTTTGGAATTCTAGAGCTCTCTAATCCAGTTTTAGTTCAGCCTCTGGTTCCCAGATCATGTTGAACTATAGCTCTTATCTTGCCCTCCCAGCTTAGCTCAATGGTCAGGGATCATGGGAGCTGTAGTCCAATACATATGGGAAGTCAAGGTTGAAGAGCATTGCTCAGATAAAGCTTCAACCCACAACCATGTTGCCTTGCTTTGAAACGGCAGAACCACCACCCTGTTTGTAGAAGCTGTTGGTTGTCGCTCGTGAGACAATCTGAGCAGCCCGAAGGAAGTCTAAACAGGCTGACCCAAAGCTGCAGTGTAAAGACTGAGCTGACTAGAACAAGTCATTCAATCCCGGGCAAATAATTAACTGCTTCCATGACTGTTAATTTTGTGGGTGAAGACACGCACAACTTTTTTAAAGTGGGGAGTGTCACATAACTTACTTAAATATTTCTTAACGAGCCTTCCTGAGACGATTCCAGAGTGGTGCAGAAATGTATGAGTATGCACAACTCTTATTTCTGCCATGAAGTCAGGCTCACCTTATAGTCGAGGGAATGCTGGGAGCTCTCTTTCTTTTGCTATGTCTGTGCTCCTGCTGATGCGCGAGATTTCTTTGAAAACCTCCCTTGTCTGCTTCCAGGGGAGCTGATGATGAGCCTCCTGTGGTACTACAGACCAGAGCACACTCAGGGAGGCCGCAATCCTAGCATGCATCAGGTGAGTTGAGCATGTCCATGTGGTGGTTTGTATGATCAGGTGGGGATCATTGTGCCGTCATTTTCTTGCAGGGAGAAGGGAGAGTGATTAACAGGTGCTGCCTATTTCAAAACATTTGGAATCTTCTAATAATCTCATAAATTGGCAAGTAATCTGAGTTCCGGTGTAAAATCATCCCTCTACTGCCTCATTCAGAACATTCATGGTTTTACAGTCGACTTGTTGTTGCTTTGGAAGTGTGCCGTTACCTCTGTGAAAATCTTTCCCTTTTTTGAATGCATGCAAGTTAAATGTGTATAAGTTGTGAGTTACCTGTGCGGTTGTACCTTGGTTGCCAAACGCCTTGGAACTCATACGTTTCAGCTCACAAACGATCGAAAACTGGAATTGAGTGTTCCGGTTTTCAAACAATTTTTGGAAGCTAAACATCCGGCCCAGCTTCTGCAGCCAACCAGAAGCCGAGCCTTGGTTTTCGAACAGTTCGGGAGTCAAACGAACTCCCAGAATGCATTCTGTTTGGAAACCTAGGTACGGCTGTATTTAGAGAGACGTTTTTAAATACTAGATTTTAAAGATCTGCACCTGTTGCATTTCTCCCTTCGCAGGCAATTCTTTTATTGTACAATAAATACAAAGGTGTTTGTTATGGAAGGTTTGATCATCTTCCCCACAGTTTAATAGGTCAATTGCACTTTTTTGAGGAGCAGCAAAAACAAGAATGCTCCTCCTTGTTTCTTCAGCACCAAAAAACCGCAACACCCTAGAATTCCTTTTATCAAACTAGTTCTAGCTATGTTGCCCTGCTGACAGGATGATTCAGCCAGTCCTGATTGTTTCATATCTGTTCTAGAATGACACAGGGGGAAAGAGTATGCTATTGCTTGCCTTTCAAGTTAAAATAATACTTTAAAATTGGGGGGGGGGGGAGGAGGAGTTTGTGAGGATAAGGGAGGCATCTGATTTGAAGAGTTGACAAGCTGGTTCCAGAAACAGAAAGAAGAAGAATCTTGTATGTTGGTCCAACTTCTGCAGTGAAAATGCACTTGAATGTCTCTGAACCGACAGTTCTGTCTTAGTTAACAGTTCCATGTAAAATATAAACATTAATATCCAAGCCCCAAATCTTGCAGAGTAGCAGTGCTGTTAAAATGGATTCCAGTTAACATTTTCTCAAAAGGGAGAAGCAAAGTGTAAGGGTCAAAAAACACTCTATGGTATCATTTATAAAAATTATTTTGCAACATAGTGGTTTTCTTACTGGCTGCAAAATAACATGAAAAACTACATTTACTCTAGGGAGTATAATTCTTCACAAGTTATTCTACCTATTTCTGGCAATATACCTCTACTGCCTTGGGTGATATCTTGAGTAGAAGAAAAGGCTGAGTAAACCCCACATAAATCTGGGAGTGAAGCCTCCAAGGTGATTAGCGCTTTGTACTCCTCCTTCCGGCAATTCCTGCAGCCAAGCTGGTGCCAAACGTACTTCTCTGCTTTCCTTTGGACTGTATTAGTGAGGCCATAAGGGGGGGGGGTCTTGTTGTCTGGGCAGCCCTGGACCTCCATAAACACTGCCCAGGTTTGTGCCCCAGGGAGGTCACTTTGGTGCTGCTAATACAGCTGTTTGACTTCACCCCCAGAGGCACACTCCATTGTCTATCAGGACAATCAGATGCCAGCAACCTTCACGTGAATCATTTAAATGATACAATTTTAGTAAGGCTTAGGAGCCTTGTGGCTGTTGAGATTAAATTAAGGCTGTAATCCTGTGCACAGTCCTGCTGGCCACATGACCCGGAAGCTGTACGCCGGCTCCCTCGGCCAATAAAGCGAGATGAGCGCCGCAACCCCAGAGTTGGCCACGACTGGACCTAATGGTCAGGGGTCCCTTTACCTTTTTAAGTATATCATGCAACTCACCCAGGTGTAATGAGTTAGGAAGAGGGGGAAGGAATTACTGAAGAAATCTAAATTAATGCAGACTCCTTATTTGTCCAGTGATGGAGAGGCGATACCCATCCTTCAAGTTCTTACAGAACGTCAAGTCAAGTTCTTTACCGAATGAGGCCACGTTCCCATAATTCTCCATCATGACATCTTTATACAAAATCTTTTGGTCTGGGTCCAGCAGGGCACCCTGGCTTTCTATGAAATACACGGCCACATCTTCAAAGGTCACAAGACTCTGCAAGGAGAGAGAGAGAGAGAGAGAGAGAGAGAGAGAGAGAGAGAGAGAGAGACCTATGGGATGTAACATAAGCAGCCAAGTACAACATTTCCTGTTTGCCCTGAGTGGACACACAGGTGGATGTTACTCCAGCCAGGAGGACTTCCTGTCACACATTGTCTGGAGCATCCTCCCCCTGCATGTGATCAGGTAGATTGGTGTGACCCTGTGAGACATGGGATCAAGAGATTAATTTTAATTGGACTTGCTCCTTAGTACCCATACGTTAAGATTGGGCAGTTTAGCTCTCAGAAAATTAAAGGAGAATCTCAACAGCGAATGCCTTATATAATCTAAAACTACCTTCACCAAACTGGTGCTCCCCAGGTGGTGACTTTGGGTTCCAAACATCTGATGGACACCAGGCTTGCAAAGGCTGGTCTAAAAAGACGACAGCTCATAGGTTCTACTTGGAACAACACCTCATATGTATCCCATGAGAAGTTGCCTCACGGCCTACGTTCAAAGTGGCTGGCAGAGAAACATGCAGGCATGATGTCTTAGCAGGCCAGAGACAAAAGTATGCACAGGACAACTGCCTCTCCTGCACATGAAGTTTTGCTATGCATTTCTACGGTCCCAACTGTGTTTTCTCTTGCAGAATGAGATCTTTGCATCCCGACATCAGGATGAAAACAGTGTTGCCTGTATCGAGGAGAAGTGCTATGTCCTGACCTTTGCAGAATACTGCAGGTAGGTGGTGCTCTTACCTTGCTTTTGCTGTTGTCTCAGAGTTCCAGAAAGGCAGTTTCCACGCATGCTGTGTGCTTTGCTGCATTTGCTGATGGGTGTGTTCATTCTCTCTCTGCCTTGGCATTAATCATGCTTGTCTGGGCATCTCAATCCATTTTCAGTTGGTTATTCTTGGTATGTCTAGGAGAAAAGAGTATTACCACTTTGGCCTCTTTCCTGTTTTAGTTTAAACAAAAAACTGTCCACTCACCACCCACCTGCCAACTCATTCCTCTCTCAGTAAAACTGGGGTTGGGGGGAGAATTGCTAAAAGCTCGTTTAAGAAATTGAAGAGTGCCGTTTTATAATCCACAGTCTTAATCAGAATACCACACCCCACTAACATTAAAGACAGCTTAAGGCATGAGAATATCTCTTCCCCCAGTAGAGAAATTTGAATCCGTTTTAGAAGGAACATTTAATGTTTGCTAAGTGTATCTAAGCTCCTGTGTATTATTAAAGGACGTTTGTCTGGACTATAGGGAGCAGTCTTCTGTATAATTTTGTAGTTGTGAGCTGTTGGTTTCCTAAAGTATTTCATTGTTATAAAATAGTTTTGACGTCCAAGGCAATCCTTGCCTATCTAGCCCATGGGGCCATATAAGATAAAGAAGTGGCCAGTCCTTATGATTAAGCTGTGCAGTAGGACGGAATTGAGAGTGCCATCCCCTCCTATAAACCAAACCGCCTATATCTTCCCTAGCCCTTTTAAAAGAAGCTCCTGTTTAAATAATTTGACTGTTGTTTTCCTCATTTAACAAACAAGACTGCCTTGTGCATTTCTTTGTGAAAAGGGAATACATTGGACGCTTGGGTTGCTAATGTGATCTGTGCGGGAGGCACGTTCACAACCCCAGCGCCACGTCTGCTCATGCGCGGGTTGTGATTTGGTGCTTCTGCGCATGCGTGACTGCCGAAACCCGGAAGTAACCCATCCCGGTACTTCCAGGTTTAGGCGCATCCGTAACCCAAAAAAATACAACCTGAAGCGTCTGTAACCTGAGGTATGACTGTACAACTGTGGTACCTCGTATGGCTTGGCTCCCAAACCAATCGGCTCCCGAACGCCACAAACCCGGAAGTGAGTGTTCCGGTTTGCGAACATTTTTCGGAAGCCAAACATCTGACGCGGCTCCTGCAGTTTCCAATTGAGTGCAGGAAGTTCCTGCAGCCAATCGGAAGCTTCGCCTTGGATGCTGAACTGTTTCAGGAGTCGAACGGACTCCCAGAATGGATTAAGTTCGAGAACCAAGGTACCACTGTATAATTTTTAAAAATCAGATTGGGTTAAAACTGGTTCGTTTGTTTGTTTATTCATTTTATTTATTCATATAAATTATTTCTATACCATGATTCATAAATAGTATCAGAGCAGCTTACATCAATATATACATAAAACCATACCAAAAGCCACATATAAAAAAATCTTAATTGAGAAATAAGCTAACTACTGTGGAAAGATACATTCTTAATAGCCAGCATAACCCTAGTGGGGTTAAAATATTGAAACAGAAGGCGTCTGCTGAATCTGTTTGCAGAGTTTTCAACAAGACTCGGTCCATGACACCAACGGCTCAGTTACTTGTTGTTGTTAAATGAGCCTTGCGAACTTGAGAAACAACCAGCAATGCTTCTGCTGATGATTTCAGTGATTGAGCTGGAAGAGAAGTGTTCAAGTGTCCCTAAGCTACCTAGGACCTCAGGTGTTCAGGGCCTTGTAAATTAATACCAGGACCTTGAACCTGGCTCAGTAGTAGATGGGCAGGTGCCCCCATGAGCAGTCTGGCTGCCACAGTCTGCTCCAGTTGGAGCTTCCAAGGGCAGCCCCACATAATGTGCACTGCAGTAATCCAGTCTATGCTTACACAAACTCAGCATGCAAATGATACGGATTCAACAGTGCAAGAGCAGAGAGAAGCTTCTGCTGATCATCCACAGTCCAATTGCTGTGTAAGCGAGTGAATCCCGCCCCCCCCCCCAGTCACCCTTGTCAACAGAACATGTGGGGAGTTTTTCTTTGGATTTCAACATGGCTGGGGTGGAGCAGAGCAGTCAGTAGGGCCACATTACTATACATTTCTTCCATGTGTTTTCTCTGAGGTCTTATCAGTGCATCATGGGCCTTCATGGCCCTCCTCTCATTTTTCTGGCAGATTCAAAATGGGAAGATCACTATAACCAATTCCAGAGTCTTGGTTTTGCTTGCCCTTTAGAGAGGCTCAACTAGACATTTATTCAGTTCTATAGCAATTTAATAATACTAAAAATTTGGTATTATTCTTTTTTTACTGTGCAGATTTTGTGCCTTGGCGAAGCGTCGAGTGGAGGGGATCCCGGGCAAGAAAGCCGTGATGGTTCCTCCGTCGGAAGAGTATTCCACCCCTGCCCATCGCAAGGTGCCAGAGGACACCGACCCCGAGTTGGTTTTCCTCTGCCGCCATGTCTACGACTTCCGGCATGGGCGCATCTTGAAGAATCCGCAGTAGCCGAGCTCTGCAGCTCCGTGGGGTTGACAAGTGGCGGTGGCTGGAGAGCCGAGGGCAGCCTGACCTCCTTGCCGGCACGTGCTGTGGCGGAGCCCTGCCCTTGGGCACAGGAGGGGATGCCCAAGCACTCTATCCTCTGCGTTTGGGGAGCAGATTTCCTGCCGAGGCAGATGTTCAAAGCACAGCACTTCATATAAAGAGCATAAATGGAAATATATATCTATAGAGAAATGTGTGTGTGTGTATATAGATATAGGTACTTGCTTCTGTAAATCTATATCTATATATATATATGTACAATGAGCATCTTATAAGGGGGGGGGGAGGGGGGAGGGGAAAGGGCAGGGTGGTCCAGGGGATAAAAGCCAGTATAAACTGAATCCAGAGCCAGTCTTGGGGATGGTTAGAGCATACAGAAGAGGAACTAGTGCAGAAGAGAGCTGAGCTGCTGTGGGCCCTTGATCTCGTGTCCTCGATATGAAGGCTGAGGCAGAGATCCTTCTGATCAGTGTCATACTTGAGGTTGGAGAAGCACCCCTGTTTGGGAGACGTGTACGTGCTGCGTATCCTTGCCACATACTGAACATGTTTTGGTAAGGGGAGGAGGACCACGCTTGCTTTCTGGGGTTGTCCAGTCCGTTGTTTGCTTTCCTGACTGGCTTTGAGCTTCAGCTCCAAAGCAGGAAGTGGGAAAGATGCAATGGGATTACTTCAGACCATTATGAAAAGCTGCGTAGATTTAATACACACACACACATGAGAGAAAACAGGGTCCAACCTTAAGGATCACTGCTTCAGAAGTGGGCAAGCACCTGAACAGCTCCCAGAGCTTAATTGACAGCTGCTACAAAACCGATACCTTCCCTCCAGATGTTTGGAGAGGCATCCCTTCTGCTGGTTGAAATAGTGGATATTCTTTCCCATCCCGATTCCATTTTCTTTGCTCTTATTTCCAGCCCTTGTAGAACCTGGATTTGCACACTCCAGCGTACTCGGGGAGGGCTTCAAAGCCAGAGTTAGCAAGGACGTTGTACCGCTTGAACTGCATTCTTTTCGAAACAGGCATCCTAACTTGACCAGCCTGGTCTGCTTTTGCCTGCCTACCTCTCTCCTCTCCCAAACACCTCCCCACCCCCCCACCCCCCAAAAAAATCTCCTCTTAACACTGACATCTGAGCATGCCCACCAAGGCGAGACTCTTTGGCTCCCAAAAGGAACTGACCAATGAGAGGTTTGCATTTTGGAGAGAGAGAATAAAAACTTGCTACCTGATTCCTACGGATACTTCTGCCTCTTGCCTTACATGTATAGGTGTTAGAAAGAAAGAAAAAACTACTTTAGTTTTGGCTTTAACACGAAGCTATTTCAGTTAATTCTAAAAGCAAACCAAAGGACAGCATACGAAAGAGCCCGCTGAACCGGTCACACAAAGCTGGGATTCCATTTGTAGATTGCACTAATTCTAAAGAATGAGAATTAACACTGGATCAGTCGATGTGCTTGCTGATGGCCAGAGTCGCTCACCCGAACGAGGGACCTGTGGGGGTTGCTTTTTGGGTGTGTGTGTGTTGGGGGAGGGAGTGTTCTGAACTGAACTGAACTAGTGTTATACGATGATAGAAACGTTCCTACGGCTTTAATATTGTCGTCTTTTTTCAAGTAGAAGTAGTACTTGCCCGCAGGCTGGAACGGAGTCTCGCCACCTGGGCTCTCTCTGCCTGCCTGGCCCGGAGGAAGTAGCCCTGCCATGTTCAGTTCCTTGTGCCATGAGCACGAGTGGAGATCTGCAGATTTTGCTCATCATACCAAAGATGGGAAAGTGATGGGGAGGAGAGAGAGAGGTTGAGAAGGTCAAAGCAAGAGATGGTTGGTTATACCTCAAGGTCACGAGGAGACGATTCCTACTGTGTTTTAGTAGGGAAAGGATTTGCTCCCTGCCGTTACGGGGGAAATCCCCACCCTAATTCCGAGCAAGAATCTGTGGCTGATCCAAGCTGGCTAGTGCCAAAGTAATGGCTTTATTCCCCCCGTAACCATTGCTTGGGCACGTCGGAGGGCTCTTGGGAGTTGCCGGTGCTACAAAGCACACCTTGTTATAGCACAGGAATGGAACAGAAGTTTCCATGTGATATTTCCCTCAAGCAGGCGAGAGAGCCTGACCATGAGGGAGGCTCAGATTGGATGGAAGGAAGGGTAGGGCTGGCATCACTCTTTTCAGTTTAGAGGTATGCTGGGGTGGTTTGGGAGCAATACTGTGGGTTCCGTAGTTGCTGCCTGTTCTTCCATTTGCCTGGTTGAAGAGGGAATTGTAGGGGAAAGAGAATGACTGGAATAGGGAATGTTCCCAGAATGATATGGGGAAAGTGTGTGGTGTGTGTGTGTGTGTGTGTGTGTGTGTGTGTGTTAGGAGTTGAGTAGTCTGATCTATGCAGAATCAGATTTGGGGTTCCTTTCTCCGCCCGTGTAATTGGGGGTGGGGGAAAGAAACCACGTTGCTAGGTATCCTCTTTTTCCGGGGAGGGGGGGAAATAGTAGTGTTCATGGTATAGTGAAGGGAATCCTCACAGCTTTTGATTCGAGACTCATGTTCAGGGTGCTACTGCCCTGAAGAAAGAGCTTTTGGGAAAACAGAGACCAGACTCATTTCCTGAAAGATCTGATGTCTGCTACTGCTTCCTCCTCCTCCTTCGTCCTGCCTCCTCTCCAGGCAGGAACAAAGAAAACAAACTCACACAATTGTACAAATGGAAAGAAATTGTATATCTGCCCAGGTTCGGGGGTGGGCTAGAAGCCCCCTATCTGGAGAGGAGAACCCCTAACCCTTCCGTGCTTCTGATATTGTCAGAATCTACTTCAGGCCAAGAAATATTGTTTAAAGACTTGTGTGGTTGTTTTATGCTGTTTTGCGGGCAGCATGTAAATGATTTGAAATGTCTTATCTGAAATGAAAATATTTCATGCTTTTTTAATCTATTAGATATGGAAATATTTTTGAAACTGAAAATGCAGTCAGTAGAATTTAAATTGAAATGTAATACATGTAAAATATATTTTAGTTGATAATTTTGTAAAATGCACTTTTTTGTGTCTCTTCCCTTGTTTCCCAGATCTGTATTTCAGTGTTTACAGATGGAATGAGAGCATTCCCTATACCCTCCTTCTGTGAAAAAGATATATTAGAAGTAATTCTTTAAAATAAATTTGAGAAATTGTATTGATTTAGAAAACAAAGCTCAAATGTAGTTTTTTCTTGCCTGTGTTTAGTCTGTTGATGGGGGCTTACTTGGTAACAGTAAAGGCCATGGAATGTATTTTCTTAGTCTCATGATGGTTCACAAAGGTATGTCAAATTCCAGTATTTATTTAGAAAAAAATATTTATAGGCAGCTGTATCATAAAACTGTCACAGCAGTTTACAGCAGTATAAAAACCAAACCAAACAATAACTTCATAAAAAGTTAAAAACAAGTAAAGTGGTGTTAATTTTGTTTTCAACAAACGTTTATGAGGCACAGTAATGAGGCTATTATTGGATTGTAATTGGAAACTAATAAAAATTATTATTAAAAAAAGAATTTACAGGACCCCCCCCCCAAAAAAAAAAGGTTTGGCACAGAAGACTCCTGCTGAATACAAGGTACAGTGGTACCTCGGGTTACAGACGCTTCAGGTTACAGACTCCGCTAACCCAGAAATAGTACCTCGGGTTAAGAACTTTGCTTCAGGATGAGAACAGAATTCATATGGCAGTAGCAGTAGGAGGCCCCATTAGCTAAAGTGGTACCTCAGGTTAAGAACAGTTTCAGGTTAAGAACGGACCTCCAGAAGGAATTAAGTTCTTAACCCGAGGTACCACTGTACATCCATTCCTGAACTCATAAAATGCAGCATCTCATAATTATTAGAATGTAAGAAGAACCTTCTTGGATTAGACCAAACTCCTGTCCAGTCCAGCACTGTGTAACCTGCAATGGGTAACCTGAACCCTACAGAAGGCCCACAATCTGGAAGTGAAGACAGTGGTCTTCTCCTACTATTGCTACTCAACATCTGGTATTCAGAGACATATTGCCTCTGTTCCTAGAGACAACGAGCCACTTTCCCTAAGATTGGGGATTGCATGGGCCCAGGCAACTTTCCCTAGAGAGGACTTTCCGTAAGGAGGGTGCCACATCAAAAAAAGGCCCCAGTCCTCATTCCTCCCCTAACTTTCTGTTTCGAAGTCACTTTCAGGCTGGCCATCTGTGATAACCTGCACACACAGGGAGGGTTTGTTGGGATCAGAGTGTCTTTCAGTGGCACTTAAGAAGTAGATACAGTGTTCTAGATCAGTAGAGTAGTATGTCCACCTGAGGACATCCACTTGTGGCATCTACATGGGAAGAGGGCATGCCGGAAAACAGGAGAAATGGCCCACCGCCATGGGTTCTTCCTTTCCAAATGACAATGTGTGGATGTTGCATTTGTACTTGTAGTGCTGGAAAACATTCCTGGCCTTGGAGGGCACCTCACAAGTATCGTTCTTGCCGGATGGGGCCTGGGGAAGGGATAGCTAAAGGGAAGCAAGCAAACAACTCTTGCAACCTGAAAATAAGAACAGAAATTGCGCTGGGAGCATGTTAGGTGCACTGTGGAAGCCTATCCTTCCTGAAGGATCCTTTTAAGATGCAAGGAGATTGACCCCTTCAGATCAAATCCACCTGCCCCCCACAATTATCTTTTCATAATTAAATGAGTACTAGAGCTGGGGGGCTGTGGAGTTGAAAGAACTCCTCTCCCTCCTTCCCAACTTAATTTCCATCCCCTCCCTTTGAAATCTCCACAAGTTCTAACTTGCGACAGAAAATCCCCACCTCATTCGAAATGCTTAAGGCGCACAGAGATCAACAACAACTCAACCACATTCCAGTCAGGTCAATAAATTACATTGAAATATGTGGTGTTAGACTGTGATGTCGACCTGGGATTTAGCTCCGTTTGTACCCTGTTGTGGGAAGGCCTCTGCGTGTGAGGGGCTGTAAAAGAGGAAGAGTCCTCGCTTCTTTCCCAGAGCAAACCAGAGATGACTCAGCATTAAAAGTGCTTCACTCCTGCTGCTCATTGTGGATATTTTTCTTTTCTTCTTTGACTCGGATGGCCCTTATTCTGGAGACCCCCACTCAGTGGTGTTTCCGTTAACTGAAGGGGGAGTGCCTTCCTTTTGTCACACAGAGTTAACAGTGACAGAGTGTACAAGTGCAAAATGATGCCAGAAATATTCATGTGTGGAACTAAACTTGGAGCCGCTGCTTCCCTGTGCAGCTTTTGGACACAAATGCAGGCAGAGGGAAGGTAGTTATTTTGATTTTCCTCACCTGGTGAGTTTGGAAGTTAGGGACCCTTCAGAGATAATGCAGTTAAGTGGTAAGTAAGTGCCATCTGCTGGCAGACTGGCGTGCTTCCCAAGTTGCCAAACCGTGTGTCGAAGGAGACAATGGATTGGTCAAGCTGCTCGTAATGTTTCCATCTAAGACAAACCAATTCTCCAAGTCCTTGGTCTTCACTTAGATTTGTGACAGTCCAATGCAAGAAAATATTTGGAAGTAGTCTCTGAATGATGGGTGCTGCAGTTGGCTGATGGGCAGAGGAGACAACCCTTCCAGGTCTACACTTCTATGATTCTATGACCCCCTGGTTAGATGTGTCAAATTCAGTATTCACCAAACTCAACACAGCCTGTCAGTCATGAATGATGGCCACCGAGGACAAAATAATCCTCCCACCTTTGTACTTTGCCAGGGACTGTAAAAACAGCAGAGTTGTCAAGCTTGATCTACAACCGTATATACCATGGGCCCCAGTCTTTTCACATTACCTGGCCATTCAGGAAAGGTCAGGTACCGCTGATTCTCCCACGCTGCCAGCCTTAGGAGATGGCGTCCTGCTAATTTTTGTGAGCGATTGTACATAAAGTACTGAAAGCAGGATTAGCAGTGGGCCTTTCCTTATCTGCAGAGCTGTAACGAGAGGGCAAAATGCATGAAATATTTGCTTACATTTTGCTGGCAGTTTTAATATGGCTAATTGTGAGTGACAGTAATTGCACCCAAAATTACCCCAATTGAGTGTTGGAAGTAATTGTGGCTGTCATATTAAAATGATAGAATACCAATCCAATTAAATGGATTTTCCTATTGCTTTGGGTCCATTAAAATGATTGTACTGATAAATGAGACATGGACAAAGTGGTTGTATGCTACTGTAAATCTGGTTTAATTAAGAGACATAGAAAGAAGCCCCGAAAGAGTCGAGGATGCGTGTTTTAATCCATGTGGGAATATGTTGTTCATCATTACATATGTTCACATGTCTAATATGGGGGGGGGGTTTACATTTGATATTTTAATATTGTTTTTGATACCATTTAAGATTCAGTATTGCCTAGAGTGGCTATTTACACATTGCCTAAAATGAAGAAACACAAAAGGAAAACAAAAGAGAAAGTCATTTTACATAAAATCTGCATGTGCTAATTTATATAGAAAGATGCAGAATTAGAAATAATGACTACAGTTTAAATAGAAACACACAACAGTTTGCTATTGTGGGGAAGACTTGTGACCAGGTGACCTGGTCAGTCTTGAGTGTGGCTGGGCAATGCCAAGGTCCCTTCTGATCTCTGTTCTTAGGGTTCTTTATGTGGGATAACCAGCCTCATATAATCAACTTGCTTAAGTCTAATTAATGCATGAGGGGGTTAATACCATAGAGTAAGCTGTCCTGCCAGGCTTAGCTATGTCACTTCCCTTGGAAGGAAATAAGTAATCAAGCCTACTGCCTGCCCACCCCCCAGTCTACCTGAGAAACTCAGCGTGTGAAGAGGTTTCTGCTGGTTGCTCCAGCTCAACTGCATGGCTCTCACAAGCCACTCTTGATTAATCTAGGAACTTTTGCCACTTAGTAACTAAGCTATGTATTACTGACTGATGAATGGAAAAGCACATGAACCAGACCTTTGAAGAATTTGTAAATAAATCAATTTCTAACTTATCAAAAGTGTAGTCTTTTCCTATGCTGGGGTAGGAGGGAAACTTGGAAGGGCATATTTTAAAGGTCAAACAGCCTATATTTCCAAGCTTTGCTTTGCTGCATATTTTGTGCCTTAAAATCTCTGCTGAGGTTCTTTCACCAAAGAGTACTTGCCCCAAACCTGGATCTTGGCACCTAGTGAATTCTCGTCCTATATTTTTCTTTTGCACCAACACTTTAAACCACTGGCTACCCTGGTTGTCCACAGTTTTGTGTTCTGTTTTGTTTTGTTTTTACCGTGCTTATTTTTTTAGCCACACTGGAGGTCCCTTCAGGTTCTGAAAGAGCATACATAATGTAGATAAATCTTAATCAGTATACTAAGGGTTATTTCCAAGAGATCTCGGTCAGTCAGTCTTCATGCAGCCACAAAAGAGGCAAACACACTTGCTTTTAAAGCACCTGAAAGGATAACATTCTGCCACTGCAATTGGTATCCAGTGGCTGTTTTCAGCCTTTTCTATAACAAACACCATGTTTACGAATCAATAATTATGCAAGTGAACACTTCAAAGCCTTTTGTACAAATCCAGGCACTTGACTTCAGGGCAAACATAATAGTACTTGCAATCCTTTTCATTTTGTTCGTTTCACACGAAATTGCAGCACCATCACCATGAAAAGAGCAAAGCTTCTGCTTGGAATAAACATCCTCATATAATAATGGAAAAAACACACGCTTCGCAGTGACTAGACGAAACATTTCAAAAGGCCTTGCAAGAAGCAAGCAGGATTCTGGCATTTTGCCCTGGTCTGTGAACAACACCCAAATGGCATGATAAAACATTTCCAAAAGAAGAAATCTCCAAATAAGTTGCCTCAAGCATCTGAGGTCAAAGAGATAGATCCTTCTTTTGCTGTGAGAAATCCTGAAGACCCCAATTCGTATGAGGAGACTAGGACCGCCCACCCCCCACGCTAAAATAGAACTAGCATTAACTATAAAATGCTTTGAACTGTATTAAGATCATTTTATGTTGCCATGGCTCTGGATTCTGGAAGTCTTTGATCCCATGGCAGGATGTAATCCTAAATAATCCAGACTGGAAGTAAATTTTACCATACAGGACATGGGTCTTCCTAATAAGTCGATGTGTTTAGGATTCCAGTGCCAATCCAGTTCAGCCAACTGGTGACTTAGAATTTAAGAGGCTGCCATGAGG